ATTTTCACGTAGGTCCTCCATGAAACAGCTAACGTACCCAACTGTGAACGCAATGTCTGGTCAGGTATGAGTGAGGTAGCGCAGCCCGCAAATGATACTCCGGTAGCGTGTCACGTCCACCTTTGCAGCAGTGATGTGCTTGGTCAGCTTCAGCCGCTCCTCCATCGGAGTCGCGCACAGCTTGCACTCCGCCATGCCGCCGTGCTCCAGCAGCTTCTCCATGTAGGCACGCTGACCCAGGGAGATGCTCTGCTTCCCCTACCTCACCTCGATGCCGAGGTAGTAGGAGAGCGTGCCAAGATCACTCATCTTGAAATGAGCTGCCATCTCACGCTTGAAACCGTCGATGTCCTCTGCTCACGCTTCGGTGACGATTAAGTCATCCACGTACACACCGATGATGAGCTCCTCCTTCCCCATCGCCGTGTGTAGAGCGCATGCTCTGTAGCACAGCGAGTGAACCCAAGCTTGCCTAAGGTGGCGTCGAGCTTAGCGTTCCATGCCCGAGGGGCCTGCCGTGGCCATAGAGCGCCTTGCGTAGCTTGAGCACCATGTGCTCAGTGCCCTTGATGGCGAAGCTCGGAGCTTGCTTGACGAAGACCATCTCCGCGAGCTCGCCATTGAGGAACGCAGACTTGACATCGAGGTGGTGGACACGCCAATCCTTCGCTGCTGCCATGGCCAACAGTAAGCGAACGGACTCCATTTGCGCCACCAGAGCAAAGACTTCCTCAAAGTCGATGCCCTCACACTGCACGAAGCCACGGGCAATGAGCCGAGCCTTGTACTTGACAATGGCACCGCGCTCATCCCGCTTCACCTTGTAGACCCACTTCAAGCCGATCAGCCTGTAGCCCACCGGTGGATCTACCAGCTCCCATGTGCCATTGTCCTCGATGGCCTTCATCTCTTCCAACATCGCCCGTCGCCAATTGTCGTCGCGTTCAGCCACTACGAACGTTGGTGGCTCCTCAGCACTAATAAGGGGTAGCTCTAGTTCATCGAGCAGTTGACTCGCTAGGCCTGTGGCCCCTGCATTGCCAATGATGTTGTCCATCCTATGGAATCGAACCTCCTCACTGTCGTGGAAGGCATCCAAGAACTCGCTGATGTCGCTCGGAGGGGAGGTGAACTCAATCGGTGGTCCCCGGTTTCCCTGTTCTGTCGGAGTGGTCGATATCGCTGCTGGACCGCTCGGCACCACTCATGGAGTGGTCGACTCCACTATTGGAGTGCTCTGCACTGCTGCTAAAGTGCTCGGCACCCCCTTTGCAATGCTCAGCACCCCTCCTAGAGTGCTCAGCACTGCACCAGGAGTGCTCAGCTCTGTTGCTGGAGTGGTTGGCACCTCCCTCCAGTGTCTCCACCACCGTGGATGATCATGTGCTCGACAACGAAGGTGCTGGGGAAGCCGTCAGCTTCCCCATGCTCGGACTATCCCAGTCCTAGGACACCTTCTCATCAAACATCACATCATTAGAGATCACCACCTTGCCTCTCTTGGAATCATAAAGCCAATAGGCCTTGCTGCCCTCCTCGTAGCCTAGGAGCACCATCGGCGTGATCCTGTCTTCCAGCTTGCCGAGGTGAGGCTTGGTGTTCTTCACATGGCCGACGTAGCCAAATGTCCTAAGGAATAACACATTCGGCTGGCATCCATGCCAAGCCTCGAATGGCGTCTTGCCCTTCAGGGCCTTAGTGGGCGCGCGGTTGAGGATAAACACCATCGTGGTCACTGCCTCTCCCTAATACTCCGGCATCATCTTCTTAGCCTTCATCATGGATCGAGCCATGCCAACCATCGTCTGGTTCCACCGCTCCACCATGCCATTCTGCTGTGGTGAGTACGACGTGGTGTGGTGTTGTACCATGTCCAGATCCACGCAGTACGCAGCGAAATTCCACCAAAGTGAATTCGCCACCGCGATCAGTCCACAGCATGCGTAGCTTCTTGCCGCTCTCTGCCTCCGTGGGCGCCTTGAACTTCTTGATCGCTTCCTCCGCCTCGGTCTTGCTGGTTAGAAGTTGTAGCCACATGTACCGACTGCAGTCATCCACTAGCAAGATGAAGTACTTAAGGGTCTCTGCCACCCAGTACTTCACCATCTTCAGGAACGACAACCTTCTTTGCTTTTTGGCCAGGCAGCTGTCACATAGCTCATCTACATGCTCGATGTGAGGCAGCCTAGTCACCATCTTCTCTAGCCAACCAAGAGTGTCAAAGCTGAGATGTCCATACCAGGCATGCCACAGCCACGGCTCCTCCATGTGCCATGCAGCCAAGCAGATGGGCTTCTCCACCTTGAGGTCGAGTAGGTACAGCTGATTTGGGGACCTCTTCACCTTGGCAAGAAGCCGCCTCTCTCGGTCCCTGATCCTGAGGATGCCGTCCTTGATCAGTGCCTCGCTGCCGCACTCATCTAGCTGGCCAATGCTGATGATGCTTGAACGCAGCTGCGGGATGTAATATACATCCGTTAGTGCGCGGTACTCGCCGTTCTGGCACTTGAAGATGATGGTGTCGTGCCCTCGGATCGCCATCCTTGAGCCATCATCGAACTTCACCATGCCGGTCATGTCGTCGTCAAGCTCGAGAGAAGGCTGCCTTGGACCCCATCATGTGGTTGCTGGTGCCAGAGTCCAAGTACCACCGCTGCTCCTGCTCGCCACCGCCCACACGTCCGAGGTGGACTTGGGCGCGCGATTCATTGAGGTTGATAGCCTTCAGAGCCTTTCTAGGCCCTTCCACCGCCATCCCCTCTCCCTTCTCCTTGGACTCAACGTCGTGCAGTACACAGAATGTCGCCATCAGGAGAGTGGCCTCATCATCATCATCAGCCTAGCGCCAGATGAGCCTCAGCCTTCTTCTCTTACTTGCGATTTGGGCACTCCTTTGCCCAATGGCCCGTCTTCCCACAGCGTCGACAGGCATTGGGGTCGACCTTCTTCTTCTTCTCCGAAGAAGCCTTGCCGCGGCGCTTGCCATCGCCACCACGGCTGGAGGAGGCTTCCCCGGACTTCTTCTCCTTCATTCGGGTAGCCCACTCCTCCTCTATCAGCAGCAGCTTGCCGCTGTCCGTCGTTGCTGTTGCTTGCTCTAGGTGCTCATCCACCGCCCGCAATCGACCAGTTACATCCTCAATGGTGATGGTGGATAGATCTAGCATCGTCTCTATGGAGAGAACGATCTGGATGTACTTCGTCGGCATAGAGTGGAGGTACTTGGAGACCGCCTCTTCTTCGTCGATGGTGATGTCGTGGCTCCTCAGCTTGCTGATGAGCGTCTATAGGTGGAGGGAGAAGTCTTCCACCGATTCACCATCCTTGAACTTGAGGTTGGCGTACTCCTGCTTCAACAGCTGGGTCGTCGCCTTCTTTGCGTGGTCGAAACCAACGCGCATCGCCGTAATGGCCTCCCACGCCTCCTTAGTAGAGCTCTTCGCCCCCAATGGCTCCCTGTACTCCGCTGGCACAGCAATGAGGATAGCCTCCAACGCTGACATGTCGTCTTCTTCGTTGTCGATGCCCTTATCAATAGCACTCCAGAGCCATCGGGCTCTGAGCTTGACCTTCATGGTCACCGCCCACTCGCCATAGTTGATGCAAGTCAGCGTCGGCCAACTGGTGTCGTTGACCTCTCGCACCATGCGCACAACGACTCCTGTCGTGGCTGGGCAGCCACAGCAGCGCCGCTACTGTCACCATCTCCAAACCGCCCGACATCGTCAGCAGTTAGTCCGGCGACGATGTTTGTACGGCTCTGATACCACTTGTTGATCCCTAGCTACCCTACACATGTAAGCAACTAGCTTACCAACACACACTCACTATGGCTAGAGATAGAAGAAGAGATTGAGAACAGCGTGCGCACACACACTCAGCACAAGCACCAGTATTGGCCGAAGCCCTGCTCTTTGGTTTGTGGCAACTGAACTGAGTATTCCATTGCCTTTTGGATGGAATATATACAACTCTAGTTGTACCTTTACCAGGTACATAGTTGTTGGCCAACTACCTACTCCTGAGTACATGAGTACACCAACTATCTACTCTTAAGGTACAGAGTACACCAACTACCTACTCCTAAGGTACAGAGTATACCAACTACTCCTAGCAGTACAAAGCTTACCTCAGTCCACTACCATGTCACGGCTGATGTAATAGCTACCAACTAATGCTGCTACAGCTACAGGAACTCGGCAGAGCCGATCAGTCCCCAACTCCCAACAGGAAGTGGTCGGCCGAGCCGACCAGTCTCCAACCAAGGAGAGACTGGGGAGCAGCAGATTATTTTGGCTGAAACTGGCTGAAAAATAATTTTCTGGCTAAATTGTTGTGAGAGAAAAACATTGTTCCGGCTGGAAAAAAAAAAGCCGAACAAGTCGGATATAAGGTAAGCCGAACGGGGCCTATGTCTAACATACATATGTTCGGTAGCTGGTTAACGGGTTTAGCCAAAGATGTGAAACTATTAGTGTTGCAAGGTGCCGCAACTATATGTTAGTCCATTTGGTTGGTTATGGTTATCGTTGCGGTTATCCATTGGCTCTTTACATGGGTGGCTCCTTCGAAACCTAGTCTATGAATTGATAGCCACTAGAGTGAGTGTGGTCTTTTTTATTTTTTAGGCTGTGTGCTTCTTATTAGCGAGAGGCTGGGAGCCAAGTCTTCCATTATCAAGAAAACATAGTCCTTGTAGACACTTTCAGGGAAATGTGTATTCTGTATTCATGTAAAAGTCAGCACGGCCTTGACTCCATGAAAGAGTTAGTTGTGCAGAATGCTTTATTCCAGAAGTTTGTAGCGCTTTGTTCATGTTTGCATGGAGCAACTCCAAGATGCAACTGACTATGGACAAAATACTGTAAGTGCTTAGTTCATGTTTTCATGGTGCAACTCTAGGATGCAATTGACTGTGGGACAAAATACTGTAAGTCTCTAAGAACTCCAGGAAGAATCATCTAACACATAGTTCCAACAATACTGCTACCACATCCAATTTACATTGAAGAGATCACGTTACCAGTCCATCTGAAGTGTGCGTCGGGATTTGCAGGATTAGTGAACTGGTCTATAACATAAACATTTTCCATTTCGTTCTTAAGCTGTTCTACTCTATCAAGTAGCCCCTTGAATCCATTAATTGTAGCATCTGCAAGAGACGAGTAGGTTCCCATCAGACTATCAGAGAGACTTACTCAATTGGTATAATGGACGATTGGACATTGTGTATAGCTACTTACCAACTAATATCACTTCAACGCCCATGTATCTCAACAAAATCTGCTTATCTATTGCAAATTTTGCTGGCATGACGGCAACGAATCTGTAGCCTTTCTGAGCCGCAACAAATGCCAGACCAATACCAAGATTACCACTCGTGAGTGCCACTAGCGTTGTTATGCCAGGTGAGATCAGGCTTTTCTCCTCCGCATCTTCAATCAATCTGCAAATTTAGAATTACGAAAGTGTTACAATTTAACGGTTTGAGTTGTATCACAAACAGTTGTATGTTATTTCGAAGAAAAGAAATCTACATTAAAGAAGGAATCTAGCCCCCATCATCCGTGCTGGCCCCAAGCTCAGGAGGTCCAAGATGCCGAAGTCGGGGTTCACGTTGAGGCGCAGCGAACGCCTCGCCAGGAAGCCTCGTGCGGCCAACTCCACGCTCCAGGCACACAACGTTCTTATGCAGAAGCTTGGTGTCGCCGTCGACACCAATGCTGTGGACGCCGAGGTCGTTGAAAAGTTTCGAGCGACCTTTGCTGCCCCTTTGTCGGCCTCCAAGCAGGAGCCACTACAAGTGTTGTTTTCAGGCGAATTTGACCCGGTGTCCATGAACCTTGATTTGGCCGGGTTTAACGCCGAGGATATTTGGGCCTGGTGCTTAGCTGGTTTGTCGCAAAATACTGCTGTGTAACCACAACCACGTGTGTTTTTCGGTCGCTGGTCTCGGTAATCAGTGGATTACAGTGGCCAGCTTAAGGTGTAATAAATTCTGCTTCTGCTTAATGAAAAACGTGCATGGGCACGATCGAGAAAAAATAAAGAAGGAATCAAGCCTCGTATGTGCCGGTTAAGTCATGTGCCATTACGGCCGGTCATTTCATATGATCAGCATCTTTCTGCTAATTGAACTATATTTAAATTAACAGCGCCCTTGCTCACAATGAAGAATTGAAGACTATATGTCCTATCAATGAGACAAATGCTAGAACTTAACCTTTTGATCACAGTTCACAAGAGTGCTATAGCGCACTGGCACTTCTATGCTAAGATAGCTTCACCATTTCGTATCTGAATTACTGCGTTAAGTGAACAATATGTTATGTCACCTCAAGAAGTAGAGCAGTCACCTGAGAGCACTTCGATCCTTGACAGAAGAAAGGGGCTGGTACGGCTCAATCTTCCCAATCAGCCGAGCATCTATGCCATCCTTCTTGGCAATATTTTTCAGTTCTATCAGCGGCGTCCAACCAATCAGCTGAAAGGCAGAGAGTTTACTCATAACTAATTGCAGGTTTGCAACAAGCATCAACAAAAATTTAGCAGACTGCACAACACTTTCATGTATTTCTCGGAAGAAATGATGCGACACAAAGAAAGGGAATACAACAGCCACCTGTGTGATGTTCGATGCAATGCACTCCCCCTGCGAGGAGAGCAACGACGGTATCCCTTTCCTTCCTTCCTGCACATCCATGTGTGTGCTGCTTAATTTACAAATTACAACAACGCCAACAAGAACTGGGAGCTTCAAATCTCTTGAACAAATCAATGGTAGGAGTGGAGGGGCTCCAATGCTGCTGTTTATTTATACATATCCCAGATAGGAGGACAGGGCAGTATCCAAGAAGCTTCCCTTCAACCAATCTCGAAACTTTGTTGACATGTGATGCTTTTGGAATAAAATTAAAACGCATGTTGACATACAAGACAATGTGTAGTACGTCATGAAAGGGGAATTGCGTCAGATATAGAAGCCACTAGTTGACCGGAACTTCAGACCACAAAATTTCTTAAAAGTGATATTGCTACTTGGTGTGCAAGCAACTCTTTAGCTGAAGAGAAGAAACATTATTGTCACTGTCAGTTTGCCACAACCTGCAACAAATAGGGAGTACACAAGATTTAGAGCAATTGCTGTGAAATTCCTGGAAATTAGGCACGCGCAGTTTGAATCGTATCATGGATGTGTAGCCAGATGGCACAGAAAAAACACAAATGGTATGGTTATCAGCAAGAACTTCAAATGGTGTGGGTATCAGCAAGAACTTCAAATGGCGTGAGTATGCCAAATTTCTGGGAATCATCGCTGGATGCTCCACCTGATCAGATTCTTACTGACTCAGGTCTTATCTGTACGTCTGGGCACCGTAACCTGCTCTTCTACTTGTTACTAATATTACATGCCGGCAATATCCGGATCTTTCCACAAAAAAAATGGTGTCGGTATCAGCAAGAACTCTTGATACGTTTGGGCTTTGGGTCTGAATTCCATTGGGTTTCCTTCTGGAGACGACAATAGAAAATCCACTCTTGAACCATCCATTTCCATTTGAGTCCTTATCCCAAGCATGGTTCTTTGAATTGAAGGCACAAACACTCAAACAAAAACGGGCGTGGCTAGCGCCCGGACGTCCGCCCCCATCCGACGTCCACGCCCGACCCGCCTGCTGCGCCCGTCCTGCCTATCACGCATGCTGCCCCGCCTGCCTCGTATGCACGTCCGCCCCCGCATGCCACTGGGCACATCCGCCCCGCATGCCACTATTGCGCTTGCACACCCACCCCCGCATGCTGGTGCGACTACGCATGTAGTTATGTGCCTCATGCCTGCTGATGCATGCCTCGTGCATACTGATGCGCATGCAGGTGGGGACCACCCACGCCCGCTTCGCTTGCCGCGCATGTGGGGACCGCTACACCCGTGGGGACTGCCTGCGCCTGGTAATGTTGCAAGATGAAGCACTTCTGCAACATACATATGAAACAGGTGAAAACATTTGCAACATACGTCTGAAACAGATGAAACATTTTTAAGAGACGCTTGCAACATATGTATATAGCCACTGAAACATATGCAACATCCAAATAAAACACTTGCAACATACGTCTAAAACAGATGAAACATTTGAAATATATACTTGCAACTTATATGCATAGCCATAAACATATGCAACATCCAGATAAAACACATACAACATCTGGATGAAACACATGCAACATCCGGATAAACAATATAAAATATACATCTAAACGCGTGAAACATATGGAGCTCAATGCCATTGAGTATGCGGGCCCCACACTCCTCTCTCTGTCGGTATTTCTCACAGCGCATGCACGGGTCTCAACGCGCCGCATATCCCTTTCCTTCCTTCCTGCACATCCATGTGTGTGCTGCTTAATTTACAAATTACAACAACGCCAACAAGAACTGTGAGCTTCAAATCTCTTGAACAAATCAATGGTAGGAGTGGAGGGGCTCCAATGCTGCTGTTTATTTATACATATCCCAGATAGGAGGCCAGGGCAGCATCCAAGAAGCTTCCCTTCAGCCAATCTCGAAACTTTGTTGACATGTGATGCTTTTGGAATAAAATTAAAAACACATGTTGACATACAAGACAATGTGTAGTACGTCATGAAAGGGGAATTGCGTCAGATATAGAAGCCACTAGTTGACCGGAACTTCAGACCACAAAATTTCTTAAAAGTGATATTGCTACTTGGTGTGCAAGCAACTCTTTAGCTGAAGAGAAGAAACATTATTGTCACTGTCAGTTTGCCACAACCTGCAACAAATAGGGAGTACACAAGATTTAGAGCAATTGCTGTGAAATTCCTGGAAATTAGGCACGCGCAGTTTGAATCGTATCATGGATGTGTAGCCAGATGGCACAGAAAAAACACAAATGGTATGGTTACGCAAGAACTTCAAATGGTGTGGGTATCAGCAAGAACTTCAAATGGCGTGGGTATGCCAAATTTCTGGGAATCATCGCTGGATGCTCCACCTGATCAGATTCTTACTGACTCAGGTCTTATCTGTACGTCTGGGCACTGTAACCTGCTCTTCTACTTGTTACTAATATTAAATGCCGGCAATATCCGGATCTTTCCAAAAAAAAATGGTGTCGGTATCAGCAAGAACTCTTGATACGTTTGGGCTTTGGGTCTGAATTCCATTGGGTTTCCTTCTGGAGACGACAATAGAAAATCCACTCTTGAACCATCCATTTCCATTTGAGTCCTTATCCCAAGCATGGTTCTTTGAATTGAAGGCACAAACACTCAAACAAAAACAGGCGTGGCTAGCGCCCGGACGTCCGCCCCCATCCGGAAGTCCACGCCGCCCGCGCTTTGCGCCTGTCCTGCCTATCACGCATGCTGCCCGCCTGTCCCAGTATGCACGTCCGCCCCGCATGCAATCGGGCACGTCCCCCAAGATGCAATCATTATGCTTGCACACCCAACCCCGCATGCTGGTGTGACTACGCATGCAGTTATGTGCCTCATGCCTGCTGATGCATGCCTCGTGCATACTGATGCGCATGCAGGTGGGGACCACCCACGCCCGCTTCGCTTGCCGCGCATGTGGGGACCGCTACACCCGTGGGGACTGCCTGCGCCTGGTAATGTTGCAAGATGAAGCACTTCTGCAACATACATATGAAACAGGTGAAAACATTTGCAACATACACCTGAAACAGATGAAACATTTTTAAGAGACGCTTGCAACATATGTGTATAGCCACTGAAACATATGTAACATCCAAATAAAACACTTGCAACATACATCTAAAACAGATGAAATATTTGAAATATATACTTGCAACATATATGCATAGCCATAAACATATGTAATATCTAGATAAAACACATACAACATCTGGATGAAACACATGCAACATTTAGATAAACAATCTAAAATATACATCTAAACGCGTGAAACATATGGAGCTCAATGCCATTGAGTATGCGGGCCCCACGCCCTCTCTCTGTCGGTACTTCTCTCTGGTCACAGCGCATGCAAAGGTCTCAACGCGCCGCATACACCCCACGCCGGGCGAGGCCGCATGTGCTCGCATGCGCTGCCCCAAACGAGTGGCCGCACGTGCTCCCATACCCTGCCCCGCGCCGCATGCACCCCACGCCGAACGAGTGGCCGCACACACTCCCATGCGCTACCCCGCATAAAGGACCATTACAGGCCTCGCTTGACTGCAACTATGTGCACCGCTTTTTTCTTGATCATCATGTGTGCAGGGGTTGCTCCGCCCCGACGGACGCCCTAAACAAGCATTACCTTAAAAAATGAAGCTTCGAAGTGTAGTTCACACCATATTAATAAACCACGGGATGACGGTCGGACTCGTGGGGAGGCTGGGAGCTACCAGAGCGGAAAGCCGGAGAGTCAGGGACGACGATATTCGACGGCGATCGAGGAGTCGTCGCGGCTAGGGATCCGGGTGACAAGAAACGTCGCCGGAGTTGAGGGTGGAAGGAAAGCAACTAGACCGCGGCAGGAGAACATCAGGACCCTGACAAGTGGGCCCTCATGGCAGGGATGAGTCGTTTTCCCGTTTTACCCCTCTCTGTTCCTCCCTCCACCATCAATGCCGTCGCCTCCTCCGGCACCCGAGTCCCACCTCGCCGGCGATGCCGGTTTCTACCTCGTCCGCCGCAGGCATTGCCACATGTCGGAGGTAGCATTGGTTAGAGGCCGTGAAGGCGGACCACCGTCGTCGTCGTTGCCGATGCCGTACATTCGCTGCTGCATTGCGTTTCAATGCGGATCCAATCGTGAGTGGCTTGGTTTGAATCCCTCTCCTTTTCATTAGATGTTGTTTGTTTGGTTCTCTCGACAAATGCATCATGCATCATAAGCACAATGTGGATCCAATCGTGAGTGTTTTGGTTTGAATCCCTCTCCTTTTCATTACATGTTGCCGTTCGATTCTTTTTTGGGGGCAACAGAGCTTATGGACATGCTGAATTTCTCACCTTCCAGGCGTACTCTGAAAACCTTGGCAGGAACATAAGAGTCCCATAATAAGGAACAAAATTCTTATAAGAGTTTATATTCAGTTTTTCTCTTAAATTCATACACTCTGACGTTGCTTGAAATTTACCATTCATGACACAAATTTGTTACCTCCGTCCCGAAAAGAATGCAATTCTAGCATAGTTGACTATCTTATTTTAACTAATAAAGTGTTTGGTGTGAGAAATGAGTTAATCCATCGTCTTCTCACTTCTTACTTGTTTGTTTGGTTAGTGGAAAGTAATGGGTTGATCTATCATCAGCTTGTTTCTCACAAGCTAATAATTAGTAATAGTATAAGGAATGAAGGCATTCCATCAAATTTGGAGAATAGACTCATGATGCACCACGTCATCTAGAATAGAGTGATTTCTCAAACCAAACACTATAAATAAATGTAAAAAATAGTCCAATTATTTATAATACCAAATAAATATGAAATATATTTTCATAATATACCTATTTGAAGTCATAAATGTTGATTCTCTTTTCATAAATTTGGTCAAACAAAAAATAGTTTGACTAAGAATAAAACTAGAATTGCATTTCTTTTGGAGACAAAGGCAGTATCTAATTCATCTATGATATATAAACTAAAACTTGAATAAGAAAGATACTGTGCATGGTAGTCAAATCAAGCACTTAACTCTGCATAG